CAGGGCTGTGTTCACAAGCTAAGTCACCACTGTGCAGATGAATGTTACATGCTAGCTGAAAGGGGACAAATAATAAAAACAATACAGTACAGAGGTGATTGACTAAAAAATGTATCTGAAGGGGCTATATTAGTTTGTGACATTGAAAAATCAGTAGCTTCTATCTCTATTTTACTGTGAACTTCCTTTCTAAACGTTGTAATAAAAGGACATGCAAATAGATCTGACTATGGAGTATCTATATTATACAACGACAGCTAGCGAAAGAAAATCCAGATATTTCATCAATCAGAACTCATTTTCATCATTTTAGTGCTACTGACCACTAACAGTAAGTAAAGGGAAAATCACAGGGCAGCCCTAAGAAACAATGGTTGATGATTTTACCAAGCTTTATGACATAAGCAAACCATTGCTTTCATTCCACAAGCAATTTCTAGCTGGAAGAGTAGCACACTAGCAACTCAGTACTAGAGTTCCTAGTGACCCAGCAGTGCCAGGTTAGCATTCTCCATTTTATGTTTATATTTGTGTTAGTTCAAGTGTAGGGTGTTTTCCTTTATCTGGGGAGAAAGGGATGAAAAACAAAGTGGATAAAAGAGCTGTGATACAATTTCTTTTCCATATTCTGCCCAATAATCACCTTATTATCTCTTTGCTGTTGTGATCCTTCATCCAAATTGTTCCTAGGAGTATATCTTAAAATAAAATCCTGTTCCTTCTCTATTTTTTCATTTCAGATCAGTCACAAGAGCAGATCAATACAGGAAAAGTTTTTGAAATATGAAGTTTGGATTTCTAGTGCTGAGCAGCAGCATTACTTCTCAGGAAACACAGCCAACAGTAACAGGCATCCCCTCGTTTCCCATCTGTCTCTCATCCCAATCTGCCCTGCCATCTCTGTGGCTGGAAGGGCAAGATAACGTTTACAACCATGCCAGTGTGTTGCTACTCTTCAGACGACCAGAAGAGGAGGCTCTGGCATTGAGCAGCGGCCTTACAGCAATCTCCTGTTGCGAGGGAAAACTGGGTTTTAATTTCCCAGTGTAGTGGCAGTGAATGAGCTTAAAACTGACAAATGCAGAGGAATCTCAAACATTTGGGAATACAAGGAAGGAACAAATCAGTTCACTTTCTATTCTGTAATATTATCAGTTCTTTTTCTTGTAGATATTTAATTTCTATGAAAAGCAAATTCTGCTTTTATATATTGAAGAAATGAGAAATATTTATATAGAAAAATACCAGTTTTTCAGGTATAAAGCTCAAGTACCTTTTGTCTCTTTCTTATAGTCCATACAGTCTTTATTATAAACGACTCTGGCTTTTAGCACTTCTGGGAGAACAGTTTTACATCTCTTCCACTACAGTAATGAATTTGACCTCCCAGCATACCCAAGAAAAAGGTGTTACTTTAAGCTTTTTATATAAAAGGAAATAGAGGCACAATGGCATTAAATGACTCTGCTCAAAGATACTCAACAAATAGCTTTTAGCTCAACCTTCTCTTCCATAGTGCAGTTTGCTAAAGAGACCTATCCTCCTTTCATCTATTTTCTCTTAGCCACATGGGTACCTAAATTTGTCAGGAAACAAGTCCTTAGCATTATGAGATCCTCAATGGGATTCTGTAATGTGTGTGTTCAGGAGGGTAGTTATAGTATAGCAATGAAAGAGGCTTTCTTAATACCTTTATACAAAGGGAGAAATGTTAAATCAGTGTGCTTAGCCTTCAAGGTTCAGGTCAACTACTTTGAACTGCACTGAGCTGAATCCTCACCTGTATTATGCACACTTGAAAAGCTGGCAGAAGCTCACCGACTGGTAGTGGCTTCATCTCAAGCCCTTGGATTCATACCTACTCTTCTCTGTTTGAATGCTGTTAGCCATAGTTATCTCCTCCTCCTCCACCTATGCTACATCTGTGGTGAAATATTTGACTAAAACATCATAAATCAAAACTGTTCCAAGTTTAAGATTAATGTTAGAGAAGAAAATACTGAAACTGCAAATCAGTTTAACTCTTATTTTCAGTAATATCCCGCAGCACAGCTGAAGCCATACTTATAGTTGCAGAACTTGTACCATCTGCAACATCGATCAGCTCAAAAAGGTTAATTAGATAATGTATTACTTGGGATAGATAGGAAAAATCCTATTGTCCTTCCTTACATCTTTTTTAAAGAATACGCCTTTATTTTTCTCAGGTGCAGAAAGTGATGATGACCATAGCAAAGAAGAAATACATGCTTCAAAATTAGTGGAAGCTACATTCTGATCAGAGTAACGTACGGAAGAATTTATGGCTTTTAATAAGACACTGAACTTGCACATGCAGATTTTTTTTTTTAGCTAACATTGCCATGCCTTAACCTTGACCCAGAAAGAGGTAAGAAAAACTTCCCTTGATGTTTGAGGTCAGCACTGTCATGTCTTGTTTTGTAACATCACTTTTTGCTATTTTGGTAAGGCAACTTGACTCATTTCAAGTGAACCATCAAAGTCTAAACGTTGTCAAGCAGTGAAGTGGAGGTGGCAGCTTCTTGCCTATGTGTCAAAGAACTCTTCATTTCTACAGTGACAGTGTTAACAGAAATAATGTAGGGATAAACAAAGAAACGTTGATTTTAAAGTGCACTTACTGTAACATATCTTATTGTGACATCCTCACACTGCTGTTCGAGCCACTAAAATTTTATTCTGGATTTTGAAACCTATTTTCCAAAGGGTTAATGTCTTCATTACATTCCAAACCATCCTCAGAGAAGAATTCCACTTTCTGCACTCAACATTACCTTTATTACTTTATAACAGCTAAAATCACCATTGTCCACTTCAACTGTTTCTCTATTACTTAGACACAAGTTTAGGCCAAGAAGACATACTGCTGGCTTTCAATAGTCCTGTTTTTATATCTGGTCAGCAGCTTCTGTGCTCCAAATCATAATTGTCACCCCTAACCTGCTAATGGCCCCCCACTCCAGCACTCCACTGCTGCCTGTTCCACTAGGTTCTTTAGGCAGGATCTTTGGCCTATTTGAATACTGTAAGAAAACCTGTTCCCCACCATGCCTTCACATAGATGTCACCTTCTCCAAATAAAGGTACTACAAGTTCTCTTTTCCAGCTGCAACTACTGCTTGTACCCCATTCAGAATCCTACCGTCAGCAGCTGCTATAAGCATTTCCTAAGCCAGGATACACAGAAGGCTCAAGTTTTAGACAACTTGCTCTTGAAAAAGGATCAAGTCCTTTGGTATTATATCACTCAGGCAGATCAAAATAGGAAACATGAAGTGCACTTTATGATTTCTGTGTCAAAGGTGCTTTCTTCTAAAAACCTACTTCTAAAAACCTACAGTGTATAGAGTTAACTCCTCTGTAGGCTAGCTGGATATGGAAAATAGTTTTGTGTAGTAAGCAGCTTTGAATGCCTATGGCAATAAATTTCAAATTGACAACTGCTATGGAAGGATCATGCCTAACTCAGAACCATAAAAATTAGATGCATTTTTATGCAGGCTTTTATAGGCCTGCAATGAGAGTAGTCTAACTTGTCATACCTGCATAGGAGCTAGTGAAGGTCTCAAAAGAGAGTCACCAGTCTTGTACTGGGAAATAGCTCTGAAGAGAGATTGTGTACTTGTTGCCTTGAAAGCTAACAGCATTCTGTGTAGTTCTTAAAGGAAAAATAAGGACTCAATTCCCCTTCCAGCCCTGTATTTTGCTGGTGCATTGGAACACCAATCCAATTGAAACAATGATCCACTCTTTTTTTCTAGGAATTTCTAAGTACTGTTTGGCGAGTCTTCCATTAACTTTCTCCTAGATAATACTTGTAAAATCATGATATAAGATGAAATAACTCTGAGCAAGATCAATTAATGATTTCTTCTTCCCTCACTAAAAGGATTACAAGATCCAGAATCAAGTAACATTTTTTCTCAACTAATAAATAGCTCTTCAGGTTCATTTCAAATTTAGCAAAATAAAATTGAGTCAGATTGTTCTTCCCAGTTGTGTTTTCTAGCTTCTTGCTAGCTTCTGTGTGTGTGTGTGGTAGTTATGTGGATGATGCCAATTTCCTAAGCTTGGAATTTGGAAAGCATGGTGATTATTTTAAAAAATATTTAAAGAATTATCACCAGAAATTCGCACCATTAAAGTAGGAGGAGATCACCTAGTTCCCAATGCCTTTTGATCAAAAATGTTTCTTATGTTACAAGGTTGGGATGAAACTGGCACAGAATGAATAAAATTGCAGTAAGGGAGATTTTATCTCCTCTTCAACTATCTAATTAAATGCATCAGCAATACAAACATCCTCCTCAGTGCTTTAGCCTTAGGATGTATACCATCTGTCAGGCACCCTAACTCCTCAGTTCCTCCAAAATATATCTGATGTCTTGTCAGAGACAGTCAATTAATGATTGTTCAAATACGAACATTTAAATTATGGAAGCTAGCAACATTTAAGAACAGAAACCAAGCCATCCATTTCCTCTGCCATTTGCTGTTATTCACTAAATTGACCTATCGTTTTATTTTGAAGTTTGTTGAATAATGCAACAAGAATGCGATACGATGCAGATCTTCAATTCCCTTGTATGTCTGTGTTTCAAATCAGTGCATTTCCAATTGGAGTCTGGATTCAGTTACACTGAGGCACAGTCTAAAGGGTTTTTCCCCAAGAATAAACAAAAACAAGTGTATATTTTCAGCATTTGGTAGCCACTTCCTTATATGAAAAAATAAAGTCAGGAAGACAACAGATTCCAGCTGCTCAGAATTAGATCATAGGACAGCTAGATGTCTTGGTTCTGTTAAATCAGAAACTAGCAAAATATTGGTCATCAGGTACATTATAATCAGTTTTGCTTCCTATGCATTCATTCAATACTTATTTAGGAGGGACAAAAGATATTTTCAGTAGTAAAATATTTACCTTCACCATGGTAGATAAAACATTAACTTTGGTTGAGTATAACTGTGTCACATACCTTCTGGTGGGGAATTACAGCTCTGGGTGAGTCAATTTTGGGTGGTGTGGTTGAAACTGGCACTGGACGTTTCGATCTGAGGATTAAAAAGATTTTGCAATCAGAACTCTTTTTTTTCCAGATAAAATTTTACATTTCTTGCAAAAATGCTACTTCATCAGTAGTGAAATATTAGGCAAAGCTAATACTTTTCTAGTCATCTTAAGGCTTTTTCCATGTTCTCACTTGCAAAAGTCTTGGATGTGAAAAATAATGCCCGATTAAGTTTCTCTGAACAGTGAAAAGCCTTCCACTCTGCATCACCCATTTTCTAGTACCTTATGACTGGATTTTTAGAGATGCCAGTTAGCTGTAACAGGAGATAAACTCATGTTTGGACAGCATTCTAGAAAATGGGACTTAGAAGTGTCTTAAAATGCAATGACTACGCTTTGATATTGAGACATCTCAAGATCAATTCCTCCAAAGATTATTACTTAGAATCTTAAACTATGTAGTAATTATCACTCTTTAAATGCCTATGCAGGAAGAAACAAGTTTAATTTTTTTTTTAATTTATACTCTCAACAGTAGATCACTTCACTCCAAATACTCAGCACCTTGCATCTGTGTTTGACAAATACACGAGGATTTTAAAAACTGAAGTAAATCATACCAAAATATTTGCAAAACACACAATCCACCCTTTAATTGGAATGTAACAAAATCAATTTAGCAGAGTTAAAATGTTAACTGAAGTACGTTAGGATACTCAGAAACTGAAGATGTATTGTGAAGGTTTTGAGAACTTCACTGAATACCCTTCTGAAATCTTCCCCAAAAACATAGGATCACAGGAAAATGAACTGAAAAAAGTACAAATATTCAAAGGAATCACAGTTCTGTCATTGCTGTCCTATTGGCAACCAACAGATTCGAGTTATAATTTTTATGGATGAGGTTTTGAAATATATTTCGTAATTAGGACAGAGGAACAAAAATGAAATAAAAGTACTTAAAATCACACAAAACTGTTACTGAAGCAGAAGTAACTACAACATCTGGAACCATTTGCTTTAGAAAATAAATGAATAGGGGAAGACATTATAGAAGTTAAGAAAACAGTGAGTAGTAGGAAAAGAGAAATAAAGCTATGCTAGACATCAAGTAAAATTGAAAAGACAACATATATACAATTGGTAGAAGGCAAAATTTGTTTCCTGAAGTAGTTGATTAACCTGAAGTGAAACTTAACTAGAAGACAACATTGAGACTACAACAATAATAGGCCATCAGGATGGATTAGATAGTTATTCTTATAACAAAAACACAGAAGATACTTTTGGTCCAGTAAAAATACGTAGCCATACATGTTCACATTTTTCATAGCACTTCACAAAAGATTGATAGGGCAAGATATTCCATTTTAGGCTCATTATTTCCTTACTGAGGGCTGTGTTGCTCTTTCCAATGATGTACTTAACAATGGCAGCTGCTGGAGAAAGAAAACTGAGAAAGACAAAAGCTAGGGCTAGTCATAGGGGAATCTGAGTGTTAATACATAGCATCACACTGAGCTATGTATTTAGCTTTAGTTGCCACATATAAAATATCCACATAGGAAACAAACTCGGAAAAAAAAAATGAGTTACCTTCACAGGAACTGGAAGATTTCTTAATGGAAAACAGAAATTATGTGACTCTTTTAATCTGCCCACAGCAGGGGGGAAGGTTGAACTAGATGTTCTCTCAGGTTTCTATCAACCCAAGCCCCTCTAATAACTGATATTTACAGATTGCATATATCATGATATAACATAATAACAATCCGAGAAATGCTTCAAATTCCAAGGACAAAAGCTAATCACTAACTGCCTAGAACAAACTTTCCTCAGAGATGCATTATTAACCCATCTTCCTTCAGAAGTGCTTCCACAACCATTTCAGCTAAGAGAAAAAATAACTCATATTTAAGACACGCACACTTATCGTGAAAGAAAATAAAGTAAGCTCCAGCCCAGAACACAGAGTTGCAAAAAAAACTGACTGGAAAAGTTTATGAATAAGCAAAGATTTAGGGGAGATTCTGATCCTCCTTCTGCTGGTACCCAGGTATTTCTGTGAAGTTATCGAGGGAGTCCTAGACATAGTCAAACCCAGAGCCAGGCAGCATGGGCACTGACTGTACCTTATGCTCTATCCATTGATCATGAATTCTAGTGCCAAAGTTGCTCAGCAATGTAAATGCTTTTTGTTGCTTTTACATGCAGAACAAACAGCTGTATACAGCAAGTTTAATGCTTAACTAGAAAATATTTGTATTGCATTATCCTGGGCTGCATCAAGAAGAGTGGCCAGCAAGGTGAGGGAGGTGATTGTTCACCTCTGCTCTGCTCTCGTGAGACCCCATCTGGAGTACTGCATCCAGGCCTGCAGTCCCCTACGATTCTGCTACTTACTTTATCTATTTTCTTCCCAAAACCCCTGGAGTATGCCTAGTTTGTAGAGTTGCGAGGAAGATGGAAGTCCAAATTCCACAAATGATTGCGACAGTTATAGATTTGATGTTGAAATATTCCAAGATATTTTTCCCAGTCAAAGCAATTGATTTGTCTTCAACTTGGCTGCATTTTGTTTTCAAGTTGCAAAAGTAAAATTGGAAATGAAAGGCTTGTTTGTCAGCCTTAAGAAAACCCAAATATGTAATTCCAGCATTTTTTGAATTCTTCCCTAGTATCTCCTGTTCTGGGAAATACACCTCCCCTGTCTCCACATACAGGTTCTCTGTCTTACTGAAGTTTAAAAGCAGTAGGGAACTAGTTTTGAAAAGCAGTTCAATTTTGATAGTACTGTTGATGTAACTGTCAAAATTTCTACTTGTTCCCATCTACCTAAATATATCTTTAATCAAAGAGCTCTTGACTTCAATTCTATTACCTTCACAAACCCAACAAACGTTCATTAGGACTCAGCTGCAATAAGAGGAGCTGCCTGCTTAAGGAAGAGCTTCCAGAGAGTTCGAGTTCTGTAGTGCAATAACAGCTTATCCCTGCTCTCAGGGGAGCATACTACCATACTTGGAGACAGGAGATACGACCCAACAGCTGATAGCTCTTTTTCATGCTCATGGCAGTCTTTTGTAGTTTATAACTTTGGCAGTCAGTGTCTATCTTCACTTCTTGGATTCTCAGGACAGCTAAAGTCATTTTTACATTAAGATCTTGTTCTCACTTTGTTATATGTGAGCATCTATATACACTGATTAAGATGCTCAAAAAAGTATCTTACTGTCTCAAAACTCAAAAAAAAAAAATGAAGGGCCTATAGAAAGGTGATAAAACAAATCAACTTCAAAATATTTTGAAATCATTTTACCTACTTCACATATCTCCTAATTTAATGGAGTGGGTCACACAGTGGGTCACACTGGGCTTTGGATATGCATTTATTAAATGCAATAATTCTAATTTTGGGAAAAAAACAGAAGTAAAACAGCCAGACTAAATATTCTTCATGGTCATCACTACATCCATCTTCAGCCAAACACTGAATTAAATATCATGCATAGAAGCTATCTACTGATTCTAAACCTTGCAAGGAAAATCCTGCATCTTGTGATCCCACAGTTTAAGTTCACTGAGCTCTTCCTGGACATTAGCAAACAGGCTCAGCATCTTTTATGAGAATCACAAATACAAAACCCACACAACTTCATATATCATTGTGATCACTTTGGGGCTAGGATGAAACCTAGTTTGACCTTATCAAGATTGCATCTGTACCTGCACTGAAATTGATAAATATTTCCATCAGCAGTTTTGCTCTGTGTCAACAGTAATGCAAATATTAGCATTTGGATGGATGACTGACTTGTTAATTATTTCCCTGCATTGCATTACACTCAGATGGACTGCAGAACAGGCAGTTATGCTTTTCAGGCCTGTTGTTCGTACCCATAGCATTATATGAACTAAAATACTCATAAATTTACCTGTAATTAAGCAGTTATCCATAGGTCTGTGGAAGAGAATGTTTGCAAGTATGTAATATCTGTTTCCTTTAGAAGGGATTCGAGCAAAGGGTAGCTGTAAATACTACAGGATAGAAAAGGAAAGAGCAGAGAAATCTTGGAGAGTTTAGAGTAAGGAAGGAAAGGGAAAATGAGAAAAAATACTTGTGAGGCTGTGAGTTTTGAAAATGAGTATCTATCTGTAGATTTTGAAGCAGCAATCAAATTCTACTCTCCAGTTTTCTCTTCAACTCCCCCTTGTCCCACTGGATGACACCTGCACATCTTCTTCACTCTTCCCATTGCTCTTGCAAGACAAAAACTCTTCACCTGAATTCCCTTCTATTCTGCCCTTGAGCCTGCTCCCTCCTGGAAGGGCTGACTGGCTGCTAATGCCTCCATTGCCTCCTGGTATCAGCTCTGAGATTCCTGCACCCCAGCAGCAACTGAGGGCAGAATTCAGATTGCTCAGCTGTAGAGAGAAGTGTCAGAGAATTACAAGGGAGAGACTGAAATAGAATCACAGTAATCAGGGAGGGTTCAGAGCTTAATCACATATAATCTCACTTGAAATCTCTGACAATTCAGTAATTATTTATTATTCATGATTCCATGATTGTATTTATTATCTCTAATTACTGCCAGATGCTAAAAATAAATGTAATTAAGATGAACAAGCAAATAATGAAATGATTTGTTAGTGTAAGAAGAGAAGAACAAAACATTTATGTTATGAAACGATCCAATACTGAAGAGCCATTGTTACAAGGAGCAGGAAAGTGCACTGTCTTTATCCAGTGCTTATACGTATGTATTAACTTGGACTGGAAATGTCACTCACTCACCCCAGTAGGCCTAATAAGTAAAAAATTTTGAGGACTCAGACATAAAAAATATTTACCTATGTATCTTTTACTGAAGAGCATCTAATATGAAACATAGCAATTTCTCCTGTTTAAATTTCCCCTGCCATGCACATAGTGTATCTGACTCTTAAATCACCTCCATTCAGGTACCACCAGACTCCAGAGCAGTTCCAAACTCTTAGCTTTCCAACAGCTTTGTTAAGGGTGAACATCACTCAGCTG